TAACAAAACATAACAATAGTAATAACAATCATAGTAATAATGATAACAAAAAATTACAGTAATATGATGATGGTAATAATAATAATCAATAGTGACAATGATAATAATTGTAATAATAATAAGAATAAGAACAAACGATAACAACAATAATGATAGTAATCATAATTACCATTATTACAATAATAATAATAATGATAATAATAATGACAACAAAAATAATAATCATGATAATATACACTGTATATGTATATATGCATACATGTATATCTAATGTATGTGTGTGTGTGTGTGTGTGTGTGTGTGTGTGTGTGTGTGTGTGTGTGTGTGTGTGTGTGTGTGTGTGTGTGTTTATGTATGTATGTATGTATGTATTATGTATATATATATATATATATATATATATATATATATATATATATATATATATATATATATATGAAATACCAACGTGTGGTGCGAGCTAGCCATTAAATCGCAGCAAGTGTTGTTCAGCAGCTCATGCCTCCTGTAAATATCTCGAAGATTTCAATCCTGCTTGCTTTCGGCGCTGTCATGGCCGCGGCGTTGTTGGTCAAAACAGTCACCCGTTTTTTTAATCATAAACTACGCCTGCCGAGCGAACTGGCAACACCTGCCGCCGGCTACAACAGCCAATTATTGTTTTCCGCTTGTGAACAGCAGTCGTTAGCGGCGGCGGTAGTGATTTTTCAATTCTTTTGCCTCTTTGTGACTATAGATTAAAGCAGACCTCTCTCTCCCGGTACGCCTCCGACCCAAGAGGAGAATCAACAAATAATTTCCACCGTCTCTTATTTTAGCTGCAAGTACCTCAAAGAACTTCCTTTCTCCCCGCCCCTCCCCCCCCCCTTACTCCCTGTGCGACCCCGAGTCCCCTCGTTCCCTCCAATCCCCCCCCTCTCTCACTCCCTCCTTCGTGCCCCCTCCTTTACCTTTCCCCCCGATCCCTGATTACGATCACTACCTCTCGTCTCTCTCTTTCGCTCTCCCTTCCTCCTTCCCTCCCCTTCGTCCCTCCCTCCTTCCCTTCCCTTCCCTTCACTTCTCTTCCCTTCCCTTCCCCTCCCTTCCCTTCCTCCGCCCCTTCCCTTCCCTTCCCTTCCCTTCCTTCCTTCCCTCCTCCTTCCCTCCCTCCCTCCTTCCTTCCCTCCCTCCTTCCCTCCCCTCCCTCCTTCCCTCCCTCCCTCCTTCCCTCCCTTCCCTTCCCTTCCCTTCCCTTCCCTCCCTGTCCCTCACATTCCCCAACTCTCCACTCCCTACTTCCCCCTGCCCCTCCACCCACCCAGAAGGCGCTGAGCGATCATTACCCCAAACCCGCCCTTGAGATACACCAGACGTTTTTCTTGGACCGAGCGCAAGCATTCTGATGGGGCGGGGGCGGGGGTGGGGGGTCATTAAGCCTGACGTTTACCCCACAACAAACGCTAATTCTGTCACGCTCTAATCGACGTCTAATACATACGGTTGTCGTCTCTAATTCAAAGCTATCGGGTAAACATAGCCGCCCGTAGCTGTGCTAATCTCGCTGTGTTATTGGCCGTGGCGTATTGATTCGGACATTACAACGCTACTGTAGACCTAAACGATCAACTTTAGCGTATTTGTGCCTGTTTGTAGCGGTCTGTGTCGATATCTATCTCACCGCTGTTCGGGTGTTCATCGCGACCTGAACGACGATGAACAGTAAGAGTAACGGCGCGGCGGTCAGCATCTGGGAGCGGGTGGCTGCGTTATTTAATCAAGTTAATAGCACGCACATCAGTCACAAGCCGCGGGGCTGTGCGATCTGGGCGTCCCGTCATGTACTGTGCCTCGGGGCTATTAGAACGCTCTTGGAATTTATAAACACTGCGCATGTGTGGACGGAGACAGTTTACTTTGCTTTATATGTCTGCTTGTCTGTCTTTGTCTGTCTGTCTGTCTGTCTGCCTGCCTGCCTGCCTGCCTGCCTGCCTGTATCTGTCTCTGTGTCTGTCTTCACCCCTTTCTCTCTCTCTCTCTCTCTCTCTCTCTCTCTCTCTCTCTCTCTCTCTCTCTCTCTCTCTCTCTCTCTCTCTCTCTCTCTCTCTCTCTCATTTCCCTCTTTCTCTCTTTCCTTTCTCTCTCTCTCTCTCTTCTCTCTCTCTCTCTTTCCTTTCTCTCTCTCTCTTTCCTTTCTCTCTCTCTCTTTCCTTTCTCTCTCTCTCTCTCTCTTTCCTTTCTCTCTCTCTCTCTCTTTTCCTTTCTCTCTCTCTTTCCTCTCTCTTTCCTTTCTCTCTCTCTCTCTTTCCTTTCTCTCTTTCTCTCTTTCCTTTCTCTCTCTCTCTCTTTCCTTTCTCTCTCTCTCTCTTTCCCTCTCTCTCTCTCTCTTTCCTTTCTCACTCTCTCCCTTTCTTTCCTTTCTCTCCCTCTCTCTTTCCTTCTCTCTCTCTCTTTCCTTTCTCTCTCTCTCTCTCTCTTTCCTTTCTCTCTCTCTTTCTTTCCTATCTCTCTCTCTCTCTTTCCTTTCTCTCTCTCTCTCTCTTTCCTTTCTCTCTCTCTTTCTTTCCTATCTCTCTCTCTCGCTTTCCTTTCTCTCTCTCTCTCTCTATCTCTCTCTTTACTTTCTCTCTCTCTCTCTCTCTCTCTCTTTCCTTTCTCTTTCTCTCTTTCCTTTCTCTTTCTCTCTTTCTCCTTTCCCTCCTTCCTTCTCTCTCCCTCCCTCCCCCCCTCCCTCCTTTCTTCCTTCCCTCTCACTCCCTCCTTCCTTCCTTCCCTCTCAGTCCCTCCTTCCTTCCTTCCCTCTCCCTCCCGCCTTCCTTCCTTCCCTCTCAGTCCCTCCTTCCTTCCTTCCCTCTCTCTCTCCCCTTCCTTACTTCCTTCCCTCTCCCTCTCTCCTCCCTTTCTTCCCTCTCTCTCCCCCCTTCCTCCCTTCCTTCCCTCTCTCCCCCCCCTTCCCAACTTCCTTCTCTCTTCCTCCTTCTTCCCTTCCTTCCTCCCTCTCCTTCCCTTCCTCGCCCTCCCTCAAACGCCGACAACCATAACGACGGTGAAGCCAAAAAGAAGTGTATTTGAAGCTAAAAAGTGAATCTGAGACCAAAAAGAGGGGAATCTGAGGCCAAAAAGAAAGGATTCTAAAGCCAAAAAGAGGGGAATCTGAACCCAAAAAAGTGACACTGAAGCCAAAAGGAAGTGAATCTAGAAGCCCCATCTTTCGACAGCAATCGCCTCCCCACACCCCCCTCCCCCCACTCCCCCCACTCCCGTTTTGTTTACTCACTGGCTCTTGGCTGGCGGCACCCACCGTCCGGTCTACTACTACCATCATCATCAGACCCACTCATAATTAAATGCATTTCCGACCAAAAGGACCGATGAGTGGGGTATCGGACCACGAAATTTACAATGCGGCCGCGTATATTGAGGTGAGGGACGCCGATAAGAGGATTAGTCGATATTTTTTTTTTCTTTTTTTCCATTTTTTGTCTATTTAGTCGATACAATTTTTTTTTTCTTTTTTTCTTTTTTTTTATATCTACTTATCTGCTTTTGTTTTGCGAATTATCCTCCTTTTCATGAGTTAAGAAAATGGCTTGTCATTATAACTACTAGTTTTATCGTTATTATTAAGGTTATCAATAATACAGCCAGTGAAAAGTGCTTCAAACTTTTTTTTATTTACTTTTTTTTCATTTACAACATTTATTCTGTCACCATTATTTATCTATCACCTATCATTATCATTTACATCTTCCTGCTCGTAATAACGTGGATAATCCCAGTCACCATCAAATTTTAAAAAAGAATGATAAGCATATCAACACGGCGGTCGGAGAGCATTTTAATAGCACAGGTTATATTACCTATTTTCGTCATCATCATCATTATTAGAACCAGAAGTAGTGGTATTGCTTTTCATTACTGATTTAATTGTCATAATTATTATCAATTGCACCAGGTAGAGCTACGTATGTGCTAGCAATCATCGTCGCCGTTATTAGTGGTGTTTTATCATTTTTCTTGTTATTTCCATCAGAGAGAGAGAGAGAGAGAGAGAAAGAAAGAAAGAGAGAGAGAGAGAGAGAGAGAGAGAGAGAGAGAGAGAGAGAGAGAGAGAGAGAGAGAGAGAGAGAGAGAGAGAGAGAGAGAGAGAGAGAGAGAGAGAGAGAGAGAGAGAGAGAGAGAGAGAGAGAAAGAGAGAAAGAGAGAGAGACAGAGAGACAGAGAGACAGAGAGAGAGAGAGAGAGAGAGAGAGAGAGAGAGAGAGAGAGAGAGAGAGAGAGAGAGAGAGAGAGAGAGAGAGAGAGAGAGTGAGAGAGAGAGAGAGAGAGAGAGAGAGAGAAAGAGAAAAGGAGGGGGGGGGAGAGAGAGAAAGAGCGAGGGAGGGAGAGGGAGTGAGAGGGAGGGAGAAAGAGAGAGAGAGAGAGAGAGAGAGAGAGAGAGAGAGAGAGAGAGAGAGAGAGAGAGAGAGAGAGAGAGAGAGAGAGAGAGAGAAAGAAAGAAAAGAGAGAGATAGAGAGAGAAAGAAAGAACAAGAGAAAGAGAGAAAAACGTCTTCCATTGTGCCTAGCGTGATATCTAAGTCCCGCTCACCGCTCTATAAACCACCGGATCATTCCTCTTATTCCTTTATTTATAATCAACTTGTGCGAGACTTTGTGAACTGACTTGCATGTCGCGCATGTCATGTGGTGAGTATGTGACCATGAATAGGTGCATTATTTGCGTTGTTATATTTCTGTATTCAAAACCAGTGGCACATTATGATGAACAATGTGTGTGTGTGTGTGTGTGTGTGTGTGTGTGTGTGTGTGTGTGTGTGTGTGTGTGTGTGTGTGTGTGTGTGTGTGTGTGTGTGAGTAAGTGAGTGAGTGAGTGAGTGAGTGTGTGCATGAGTGAGTGAGTGAGTGAGTGAGTGCGTGTGTGCATGAGTGCGTGCGTGTGTGAGCGAGAGAGTGCATGCATATGTGTTGTATACGCTGCGTATACCATAGATGTGTGTATATATAAGCACACATAACCGTTATTCTCGTGTATCATATTCCGCTGTCAATAGCCCGATCACAGAGCGCGCGGAGCCGGGCCCCTGCCTCCATTTCGTCCCCTCTGGCACAGAGGTCCACGTACAAATTCCATTTATTTTTGTGTCGCGCATTTCCCCCGCGGCCGAAAAAAAACTCTGGCGAAGAGGTGCGTTGTGCGCAGAACGTCCGGGCGGGCGGCGAGGGCGGCGAGGGCGGCGGGAGAGTCGGTGGGCGGCGAGGGCGGCGGGAAAGGGTTGGTGGGCGGCGGGGGAGTCGGTGGATGGCGAGGGCGGCAAGAGAGAGTCGTTGGGCGGCGAGGGCGGCGGGAAAGGGTTGGTGGGCGGGAGAGGGTTGGTGGGCTGTGGGAGAGGGTTGGTGGGCGGTGAAGGTGGCAGGAAAGGGTTGGTGGGCGGCTGGAGAGGGTCGGTGGGCGGCGAGGGAGTCAGGTGGGCGGGGGAGAGGGTTGGTGGGCGACAAGGGAGCCAGTGGGCGGGGGAGAGGGTAGGTGGGCGGCGGAGGAGTCGGTGAGTGGCGAGGGCGGTGGGAAAGTGTCGGTGGGCGGCGAGGGCACCGGGAGAGGGTTGGTGGGCGGCGGGAAAGAGTCGGTGGGCGGGGGAGAGGGTCGGTGGGCGGCGAGGGAGGCAGGAGAGGGGCGTGGTCGCTTTCCAGGCCGCCCCGTCCGGCCGGCGCTCGCTGGACGGAGTCGCTCGGGATTGACGTATTGAGCTGCTTTGTTTGTTTCCCTATTTTTTCTTTCCTTCCTTTAAAATTTTGCAACTGCATTATTATCGTTTGGTAAAAAAAAAGGAGGAAAGATCAATGTGCGACTTCGGTGATGACAGGGTCGTGTTACATGCAACATCACATTTTGTAAATAAAAATTGGTGTTTTGATTCGGAAAGTGGTCGTCCCTGGAGCAAACCAGGCTGCATCTTCCAATATACCTTTTAAAGCGGCTTCTTCCAACTCCTCACCTTATGTTCGTATCTATATCATAACAAAAAAAAAAATGCTATGACAATAAAGACGGATTAGAGGACGCGTTGATAAAGAACCTCTTCACAAAAGGGTCACATATTTGATGTATGTTTTTTGGCTCGCGCATTTCTTTGTTTATTTCTAAAAATGCAAGCGTGAGTAACCTTTGCCAAAAAATGAGCTTCAGGAATGAGGAACTATATTTACAGCTGGCAGCCACTCGGACGGTTTTGGCCTGATTGCCTGCATGTACACTACGTCTGTTCTTTTACGCGCTTGGAAGCTCGCCTCTTCCTTTTTTCTTCTTCTTCCTTTCTTTCTTTCTTTTTTTTCATATTTTAAGTTCCTAAAGAATACCTTCACATCTGCCTGCCTGCTTTACCTGCTTTGCCTGCTCACCTATCTAGCTGCTAACTGCTTGCCTGCTCGCCCGGACCTCAGTATTCAGGCACGGGCGTGTGACTGGCTTCGCTGAACTTCCTCTAAATACATTCCCAATTCCTGGCGGCGCGACCTATTCCCCGCATGTCCACCGCTTCGCATACCTGTGTCTGGGGGCATGTCTTCCTGTGGTAATCACGGGGGTGGAGTGTGGTTCGCCTGGCATCATTGCAGGCTGTATAATAGCTTGTCAAGTTGTCAAACATTTTCTTTTCTCTTGCATGAACAGGTCCAAAAATAACGCGGAAAGGGGAGGAATCATCAGCCTGTGCATGACTTACCTGCTGGGTCTCGGTGTGGAAGAGGGTAGGGGGTGTAGAGGCTCTGGTTTATATTCCACTTTTATATTTCTACGTTTTCACTCCATTTTTCTTCTCATTCTCCTTCTTCACGAAACATGGTAGTGGGATGTTTCTTCGTTTCCACATCATAATTATTTGAGAAATCGGACGTACCAACCGCTCCGAGCGAAATCCAACGGCGTCCCAAAGGTAACCCTTAAATCGCCCGTACAATCTCCAAACGCAATTACCGGCAACGAACTCAATTATCTGCGACAATATATTCACTATGGAGATATCAGGACCGGAGTTCGCCGAACCAACAACAACCAACACACGATCACTGGTTCCATTCCGAGCCCCCAATTTGCGACGGCTCCGAAATCCTCCTTCTGCGAAAGCGGGACAACCCGAAGAACGAACGCACGCTTCCTCGCACGCCCCTTTCCTCCTGCCGGCGGCACTGTGGGCGTGATTCCCCTTCTCAATCGCCCGGGAAAATGAAGGTCAGATCTGTGATCCAATCTGGCGAAGAGGGATCGCGGGGATCACCTGAGACTCTTTAAAAACGAGGTCGCAGGTCAAGAAAGCTCCCACGGAACACACCGGCACACGCACAAGCCCGCCACTGACTTGGGCCGTACTGTGACCGTATCTCTTCCCAGCGCAACTCTCGTCCGTACAACACCTAGCCAAAAGGACGTATCTTGCAGGAACATGACGCGGAAGCCAAGGTAGCGTGCAATACCTCCCCCTCAAAAAAAAGAGTCGCCAAAATCGACTCTATTAAAATGCACAATAAGCAACTTCACGATTGGGTTAAGATAAACAGTTACAGCAACTCCTCTACGAGGGAGAGAGAGAGAGAGAGAGAGAGAGAGAGAGAGAGAGAGAGAGAGAGAGAGAGAGAGAGAGAGAGAGAGAGAGAGAGAGAGAGAGAGAGAGAGAAAGACAGAGAGAGAGAGAGAGAGAGAGAGAGAGAGAGAGAGAGAGAGAGAGAGAGAGAGAGAGAGAGAGAGAGAGAGAGAGAGGAGAGAGAGAGAGGAGAGAGAGAGAGGAGAGAGAGAAGAGAGAGGAGAGAGAGAGAGAGAGAGAGAGAGAGAGAGAGAGAGAGAGAGAGAGAGAGAGAGAGAGAGAGAGAGAGAGAGAGAGAGAGAGAGAGAGAGAGAGAGAGAGAGAGAGAAAGGAGAGAGAGAGAGGAGAGAGAGAGAGGAGAGAGAGAGAGGAGAGAGAGAGAGAGAGGAGAGAGAGAGAGAGAGAGGAGAGAGAGAGAAGAGAGAGAGAGAGAGAGAGAGAGAGAGAGAGAGAGAGAGAGAGAGAGAGAGAGAGAGAGAGAGAGAGAGAGAGAGAGAGAGAGAGGAGAGAGAGAAAGAGAGAGAGAGAGAGAGAGAGAGAGAGAGAGAGAGAGAGAGAGAGAGAGAGAGAGAGAGAGAGAGAGAGAGAGAGAGAGAGAGAGAGAGAGAGAAGAGAGAGAGAGAGAGAAAAGAGAGAGAGAGAGAGAGAGAGAGAGAGAGAGAGAGAGAGAGAGAGAGAGAGAGAGAGAGAGAGAGAGAGAGAGAGAGAGAGAGAGAAGTCAAAATCACGATACGCTATTTTACCTCCCTGAGTTTGTTAAGATGAATAATGGAAATGACTTCGAGTAACATTTTTTAGAATTGTACACAGATCCATAACATTATCTTGGCAGTTTCAGCGTCCGGAAGAAATTTTTCCCTGTCTAGCCAACAACTGCTCTTATGTCCATAACGTTGAAGGCGTGACAACTATATGGCGTGAAGTTCATATCAACACACAATAAAATATTTGAACTCGTATGTGCATATATAAAGTTGTGTGTGTGTGTGTGTGTGTGTGTGTGTGTGTGTGTGTGTGTGTGTGTGTGTGTGTGTGTGTGTGTGTGTGTGTGTGTGTGTGTGTGTGTGTGTGTGTGTGTGTATGTATGTATGTATGTATGTATGTATGTGTGTGTGTGTGTGTGTGTGTCAAAATAACTACACTAACATGTGACAGACGAGAAAATTTAGCATGACAAGATCCGTCACAGCTCACTTTGCATATCCCGTCCCCACTCCTCTCCCTTCCTCTCCCTGGCTTGCTCTCGTCTCCTCTGCTCTCGTCTCCCTTCCTCTCCCTTGCTTCCCCCTCCTGTTTCTTCTCCCGTCTTCGCCACTCCTACACTCCTTCTCCCCCTCCCTCTCCATTGTCTACGCTCTCCCCCTCTCTCGTTTGCTTTCTCCTCCCTCTCCAATGTCTACGCTCTCCCCCTCCCTCGTTTGCTCTCCCCCCTCCTTCTCCAATGTCTACGCTCTCCCCCTCCCTCTCCAACGTCTAGGCTCTCCCCCTTCCTCGTTTGCCCTCTCCCCCCTCTCCCTCGTTTGCTCTCCCCCCTCCTTCTCCAATGTCTACGCTCTCCCCCTCCCTCTCCAACGTCTAGGCTCTCCCCCTTCTTCGTTTGCCCTCTCCCCCCTCTCCCTCGTTTGCTTTCCCCCCTCTCCCTCGTTTCCCTCCCCTCCTCGCCCCCACTTCACCCCAGCCAACAAGTCTCCTCGGGCGGTGCACTGTTGTCACCCGACCACGCTAAACTTCCCCGCTTGTTTGGGTGGATAAACTTTTTGTGTGGACTGTTTTGTTCGCGTGAGAGTGTGTGTGTTGCAATACAGATGCAGCTGCGAGGGGCGGGAGCGTGCAACCCTGGCGACTTCCTACCGGCGCGGGTTGAGAAGGGCAAACATCCAGGAATGTCAGTGCGTGCTGAGAGTGTAGGGGTGTGGGTAGAATATAGCGTGCAATATGCAATATCGTAGTGTGTAGATCGTAGTAATTTAGTTGTACTATAGTATGCGGAACTAAAATACTATGGGTGTGGAGTGTATTGGTGAATCTAAATGAGGGTGTGCAGTTTTATGTACGTGTTATAAAGTGCACGTGTTTAAAAGATCGTAAAGATTATGAATATAAACATTTACCTGCGTGTATAAACACCAGCGAACACGCACGCAGGTAGACGGGAATACGCGTAACCAGAAAACAGACAAATTGCGTCGCGCATTCATGAACAAACAGGCAGACACACAAACCAATGTCCGACACGCATACCATACATACATCTGCACCTATTATCTCAAACACGCGTAAGACACCTAGACACACACCGTCCCACCCAACCACACACGCACACAAAGAAACGAAACAAAATAAAAGAAGCCTCTTTATAAAGTCAAATTACTCTTAATCAACATATAAACGACATCGAGAGAGCGAGAAAAAAGGAGCGAAAGACTGGGCCGCCATACATCGACGGCGGGTTGGCCATTACCTGTGTGCCATCGCTAGTCTTACACGCGGTGACATCGTGTCCTCAGCCCCCCCCCCCCTCCCTCTGGCCCCCCTCCCTCTGGCTCCCATCCTAGTCCCCATCCCTTCCTCTTCCCTTCCCTCCAGCCCCCTTCTTGTCCTCCTCTTCCTTCCCCTTTCCTAGTCTCTTCCCTCTCTCCTCTTCCTTGAACCTCTCCTAGTCCCTGCCCTTCAGTCCTTTCGGTCCGCTTCTAAATTCCGTTCCCTATTCCCCTTCCTTGCCCCCTCTTAGCCCCCACTCCTTCCGACTCCCCTCCCTTCTAGTCCCCTTCTCCCATTCCCTTTCTTAGGTTCCACTCCCTTTCCTAGCCCCTAGTAGTCCCTGTTCCTTCAGACTCCTTTCCCTTCAGCCGTCTTTTAATCCTCCTCTCCCATTTCCCTCTCTAGTCTCCTCTCTCTCCCTTTCCTTGTCCCTCTCCCCTCAGTCCTCCATCACGCTCTCCCTGCCACTACGCCCTACTTCTTCTCCCCTCTCTTGTCCCCTTACCCCCCCCCCTTTCTACTCTCATCCATCCCTCGTTCCCCCTTCTACTCACCCTTACTCCATCACCTCTTCTATCTCTTCTCCTTCCTCTCCATTCCCTCCACTCTCCCCCCAAACCCTCCCTACCGGTCTCCCCTCCCTTCCCTGTCGGGGCTTTGTGCCTGTCAACTATAAATAAAAGAAAACAAAGGGATATAACTCATCACTGAAGATCCAAGTCTACACACTACAGTTAAGACAATAATTCTTTATATATAGAACAGCCTTTTGAAAAGCTATGTATCTTTCAGACAAACTGATGGAGATTTGTTTGTGCTTAACGAGAAGTAATGAATGGAAAGTAGTGTAGGGAGGGGGGGGAGGAGATTGACTCTGGCTGTGAATCTGTGTATTTGAAAAGACAAGATTCCTTTCAGATCAGTTGTGATTCGCCTTTTTAACCGAGGCATACAAAGAATTGTGTGCATCGCCGTGTTCTACTTTGATCTCATAAACGGCTTTGTTTCTCTTTAATCCATTTATCTACCACAGATTTACGAAGTATATATCACATTTTTTTCATGTACGGTTATGCCTGAAAAGCTATTCTTGCCATGAGATGTGTTTTGTTAATACATGCGTGTGGAATTATCTATGCATGAAACTATCTGTCTGTGTGTAAGTACTAGTGTGTATGTGTCGGTCTAAGT